TGCCGCATCTTCATCTTCCTCTCCGCCGCTTTGTCGCTCAATTCCTACTTCACGCTCAATGATCCGGTACCGTCCTCACGCCACCTGCTTCCCATTCTCTCGACTTGTATCCTTGCACGCGTTTCAAACTTTTGCTACCTCGCCTTGATATTATAAATTGATGTCTTTCAACAATCCTTTCACCAACGCATTAGCGGTTAGCCTCCGATCGTGTCGCTGTTAGCGGTTGCGCCGAACCCACATGACAATAAACATCCCGAATGATTCGATTGAGTACCGACAGTACAGCGCACCAAAAGCCCGAACGTTGACTTGTCATGTAAAGTTAATGGCCACCACGATAAAAAGAACCCAAAAATTGAACAAATGCGAGCGACGGGCCATTTGCGAAGACCGAGTGACAGCCGGGCCCCTGGTCACAAGTTTCGGCGCACGTCAAAACAAAGCTCACCACGCATTCTTCGCACGCTTCCGCTGCTCACTATGGAGTCCTCGTCCACCGTCGGCAGCCCTGTGACCCGCCAGCCTCACCATGAGTACCCCCCTCGAAACGGCCAAAACAAACAAAAGGTGCGCTCCTCAGCCGACACCAAATGGCAGCCGGGCCAGTGGTCACAATTTTCGGCGCACGTCAAAACAAAGCTCACCACGCATTCTTCGCACGCTTCCGCTGCTCACTGTGTAGTCCTCGTCCACCGTCGGCAGCCCTGTGACCCACCACCACCACCATTAGTACCCCCCTCGAAACGGCTCAAACAAGAAAAAAGGTGCGCTCCTTGGCCAACACCAAATGGCAGCCGGGCCCTTGGTCACAACGTTCAGCGCACGTCAAAACAAAGCTCACCACGCATTCTTCGAACGCTTCCAGTGCTCAATGGGAAGTATTCATCCACCTGTGGCTATCCTGTGACCCGCCAGCCCCACCATTAGTACCCCCCTCAAGGGCAAAAAAAAAAGCGCGCCTTGGCTCCTCAGCCAACACCAAATGGCGGCCGGCCCCCTGGTCACAATTTTCGGTGCACGTCAAAACAAAGCTCACCACGCATTCTTCACGAGCTTTCGCTGCTCCCTATGGAGTCCTCGTCCACCGTTGGCCGCCCTGTGACCCGCCAGCTCCACCATTAGTATCCCCCCTCGAAACGGCCTAAAGGTGCGCTCCTCAGCCGACACCAAATGGCAGCCGGGCCCCTGGTCACAATCTCTGGCGCACGTCGAAAAAAAACACACATCGCAGTTTTCTCGCGTGCTCGGTCTTTATCATAAGGTCCTCATCCACCTGCGGCTACCCTGTGACACAGCACTACCGTCAGAAACGCCCGGCGATTCGCGCGTCAAAAATCGCAAAAATCACTCTTGCTCTTGACTCTGGCAGCGGGCAACATGGATAGCATCTTCAAAAGAGGGCTTAAGATCGGTTTCTCACCTGCATTTGAGCGGGAGTGCTTCGTGCCGGATCTGACCAGGCAC